GGATCTTGGTGCCCCCAGGGGGAGTCTGAAGCCCCCAGACCCATCCCAAGGGGGATTCTGGTGCCCCCCAGGAGGATTTTGGGATTTTTTGGGGCTTTTGCTCCTCCCCCAAGATAGTTTTGGGATTTTTGGGAATTTTTGCCCCCCCGGCCCCTTTGGGTGCCCCCCAGGGTAATTTTGGGGTGATTTTTGGGAATTTTTGCGCCCCCAGCCCCTTTGGGTGCCCCCCAGGGTAATTTTGGGGTGATTTTTGGGAATTTTTGCCCCCCCGGCCCCTTTGGGTGCCCCCTAGGGTAATTTTGGGGTGATTTTTGGGAATTTTTGCCCCCCCAGCCCCTTTGGGTGCCCCCCAGGGTAATTTTGGGGTGATTTTTGGGAATTTTTGTCCCCCCAGCCCCTTTGGGTGCCCCCCAGGGTAATTTTGGGGTGATTTTTGGGGGTTTTGTCCCCCCGGCCCCTTTGGGTGCCTCCCAGGGTAATTTTGGGGTGATTTTTGGGGGTTTTGTCCCCCCGGCCCCTTTGGGTGCCCCCCACGGGGGGGGTCCCTACACAGCCGGGGGGAGGGGTCTCTGTGCGCAGCCATTGCGCGCCGGGCCCCGGGGGGCGGGGCACGGCCGGCTTAATTGGCTGCGGTAATTAACGGCTTAATTAGCTGTGGGGTCATTCCCGGGATTTGGGGACCCCCCCCCAAATTTCAGACACTTTCCATGACCCATCCCCGAAACTTTTCCCCTTTAAAACTTTGGGAACCCCCAGGATTTCGGGGTCCCCACGGCGATTTTGGGGTTCCCCTGAATACTTTGGAGTTCCCCCAGGATTTTGGGGAACCTTCAAGGATTTTGGGGTCCTCCCAGGATTTTGGGGACCCCCCGAGATCTCCAAATCCCCTCCAAATTCCAGACACTTTCCATGACCCATCCCCAAAACTTTTCCCCTTTAAAACTTTGAAAACCCCCCGAATTTCGGGGTCCCCCCAGGAGGTTTCAGAGTCTCCCCGAATTTCGGGTTCCCCCAGGAGGTTTCGGGGTCCCCCCGAATTTCGGGGTCCCCCAGGAGGTTTTGGGGTCTCCCCGAATTTCGGGGTCTCCCAGGAGGTTTCGGGGTCTCCCCGAATTTCGGGGTCTCCCAGGAGGTTTCGGGGTCTCCCCGAATTTCGGGTTCCCCCAGGAGGTTTCGGGGTCTCCCCGAATTTCGGGGTCCCCCCGAATTTCGGGGTCCCCCAGGAGGTTTCGGGGTCTCCCCGAATTTCGGGTTCCCCCAGGAGGTTTCGGGGTCTCCCCGGATTTCGGGGTCCCCGGATCTCGGGGTGCCCACCTGTCGGCGCCGGCGCAGGAGAGCATTTTGTTGATGCGGATGACGTGGAAGGGGTGCAGGCGCACGCGGATGTGGAACCCGTCCTTGCCGCAGCTCTTCACCATGTACTTGTTAGCGCAGATCCGCGCCGCCTCCAGCGCTGGGGAGCAAAATTTGGGGAAAATTCAGGGGGTTTTGGGAAAAAATGGGGATTTTAGGTGAAAATTTGGGGTTTTTAGGTGAAAATTTGGGNCAGCTCTTCACCATGTACTTGTTAGCGCAGATCCGCGCCGCCTCCAGCGCTGGGGAGCAAAATTTGGGGAAAATTCAGGGGGTTTTGGGAAAAAATGGGGATTTTAGGAAAAAAAATGGGGATTTTAGGTGAAAATTTGGAGTTTTTAGATGGAATTTTGGGGGTTTTGGGTCAGCTCTTCACCATGTACTTGTTAGCACAGATCTGCGCCGCCTCCAGCGCTGGGGAGCAAAATTTGGGGAAATTCAGGGGGTTTTGGGAAAAAATGGGGATTTTAGGTGAAAATTTGGAGTTTTTAGGTGAAAATTTGGGGTTTTCAGGTGGAATTTTGGGGGTTTTGGGTCAGCTCTTCACCATGTACTTGTTAGCGCAGATCTGCGCCGCCTCCAGCGCTAAGGAGCAAAATTTGGGGAGAATTCAGGGGGTTTTGGGAAAAAATGGGGATTTTAGGTGAAAATTTGGAGTTTTTAGGTGAAAATTTGGGGTTTTTAGGTGGAATTTTGGGGGTTTTGGGTCAGCTCTTCACCATGTACTTGTTAGCGCAGATCCGCGCCGCCTCCAGCGCTGGGGAGCAAAATTTGGGGGAAATTCAGGGGGTTTTGGGAAAAAATGGGGATTTTAGGTGAAAATTTGGAATTTCTACGTGAAAATTTGGGGGTTTTAGGTGAAAATTTGGAGATTTTACATGAAAATCTGAGGTTCTTACAGGAAAGTTCGGAGGTTTTTGGTGCAAATTTGGGATTTTTGGAAATTTGGAAAAAACTTGGTGGCTTTTAGGTGGAAATTTGGGGGTTTTAGATGAAATTTTGGGGGTTTTGGATTAAGATTTGGGGATTTTAGGAAGAAATGTGGAGTTGGGGAAAAAAGTTTCTTGAGTCCCTCCCAAAATCCCCCTTAAATGTCCCCCAAAATTTCCCCAAACCCTCCCAAAAATCCCAAAACATTTCCCAACTCCCCCCAGAAATCTCAAAAAATTTCCCAAAAGCCTCTCAAAAATCCAGCAAACCCCCCCAAAACTGCCCCAAAAATGCGAAAAATCCCCCCTAAAAATCCCACAAAACCCCTTAACTTTTCGGAATTCCCCAAAATCCCTCCCCAACCTCCCCCAAAATCCCCAAAATTTGGATTTTTACCCTCGGAGCTGAGCTGCTCGTACTCGTCCGACACCATGTGCCCGCACAGGGGGAACTCGTCCACTTTGGCTTTTTTCCGGCCCAGGTCGAAAATTCGGATTTTTGGGTCTGGGGGGATTTTTGGGGGGGGTCAGGGGGGGATTTTGGGCGGTCCCAGCTCAGGATTTTTGGGGTTTTTTTGGGGGTTTTTGGGGTCGGGACTCACCGGGGACCCCGCGGCAGAAGCGGGACTTGGGGTAGGGTTTGTTCTTGCAGTAGCGGTAGCTGTGGGGGGGAAAAAAACCCCAAAAATAACCCAAAGTAGCCCCAAAAGTGCCCTAAATATTCTTAAAAATGCCCCTAAAAACGGCCCCAAAAGTGCCCTAAATATTCCTAAAAATACCTCCAAAAACAGCCCCAAAAATCCCATAAATATCCTTTAAAATATCCCCAAAAATAACCCCCAAAATCCCCCAAATATTCCCCAAAGATCCTGAAAACCATCCCCAAAAATCCCCCAAATATCCCTAAAAACAACCCCAAAAATATCTCAAAAACGCCCTAAATATCCATAAAAAAACCAAAAAACCTCTAAAAAATCCCCAAAACATTCCCAAAAATCCCTAAACTATGCCTCAAATAGCCCTAAAAATGCCCCCAAAAATCCCCTAAATGTCCCCTCAAAAAATCCCCATAAATCCCCTAAATTACCCCCCAAAAAAGTCCAAAACACCCGAGAAATATTTTTTAAATATCCCTGAAAATTCCCAAAATTATCCACTAAGAAACCCGAATTATCCCCAAAAAGAACCCAAAGCCCCGACCCAAATCCCCCAAACCATTTAAAACCTTAATTATTTACTTAAACCCCAAAAAAATCACTTTTAAACCCCGAATATTCAGTTTTTAACCCCAAAAAATCCTTTTCCTCCCCAAAATTCCATTTTAACTCAAAATATTCCCCTTCTGGCCAAAATATTCCATTTTTAATCCCAAAAATCCCATTTTAAACCGAAATTATCCAACTTTTAACTCCCAAATTCTCATTTTTAACCCCCAAAATCCCACTTTTAACCCCAAAATTCCCAATTTTACCCCAATTCTCCCTTCCCCCCCCGCCCCATTTCCCCTAATGACGTCACGCTCGCCCGCTGTGACGTCACGGCCTCACCATCGCGCCGGCCGCCGGCCCATGGCGGCTCCGGGACCTGCGGGGGGACAAAGGGACGCGTTGGGGACCCCAAAAATCCCCAAAATGACCCAAAATGCCCCAAAATTCCCCCAAAATTCCCCAATCCCCGCCCAGGTCCCACCGCGCTCCGACCTCGCCGCGCGCCCGAAAGAGGCCGCGGCCGCCTGCGCGCTGCTTTTATACCGCCCGCCACTTCCGGCCCGCCGCCACTTCCGGCCCGCCGCCACTTCCGGTCCGCCGCCACTTCCGGCGGCGCTCCGCCCGTCTCGGAGGACTCATCAAAATGGCGGCCGCGAGGGCGATGGCGGCGGCGCTGGCGGGGCTGAGCGGGAGCGGAGCAGGCGGGAGCGGAGCGGGGAGGGCGCGGAGAGGCGGCGGGAGCGCGGGGCCGCCATAGAGACGGGTGGAGCCGCTCCGGCGGGCGCGGCGATCATAGAGAGGAGCGGCTCGGCCAATCAGAGCGCGCGGCTGGGGGTGAAGGCGGCGCATGCGCGGTGAGGCCGCTGGCGGTGCTGAGTGGCGCGCGCCGTGACGTCATCGTTCATTTACATAGCACCGCCCAAATGAATCAATGAATGGGCGTGGCCAACGCGAACTCATTTGCATTAATTTCCATAAATGGGCGGGGCGGAGGATTCAGGTCGTTTTGGGGAGACCCCAAAATTCCCAGGGACCCCCCCCCCAATTCCAATCCCCCTCCCCAAAATATTTTGGGGTGAAACCCCCCAAAATTAAACCCC